TAGCAAGTAATAAACAAATTGCTATAAAAAAAAAAAAGATCAATATTGTTTAATTATACATTTAGAATAATTCGAGCCTATGCAAATTAAAGTTCATAACATACCACCAATCAATCTCCGGTTAGATTTCTTTACTACTTGCTGTAAAAGATATAATAAGTAATCAATTTATAGATATAAGTATTAAAGATTTACTCAGACTTACTTTCAATATTAATTTTTCAAAATATGCATAAGCTTTTGCAACTGTGGAAAGCTCCAAATCCAAGTCCTATAATAATTGAATCAGTATATATATATATTTAGATATACCAGAAGTGTTACGATTAAAATACAAACCTCGTGTTGAGCAGCAGCTAACAATTTCGCTTTTACTTTACGAATTTGACTTAAGGTTAAACTTGGATCAACATTCGGATGAGTTTGACGAAAAAGTTCATTTGACTCGCGCTTCAAATCAGACGGTCGAGTACCATGACTCATTAGACCCTTAAAAATGAGAATTGAACAATATATATTATATTTTTATTCAAATAATCTTTTTAAAAGAAATGAATGTATACGCACTATGATCCCGGATAAACTCAAAACCGCACGATGTTTACTTGTTTTCAGCTCCTGCTGATCGTTGGGTGTTTCTTTTTCTGTTTTTAACGCGGGATTATCTAAATACGTTGGATCGTACTCAGCAACTACCGACACTGGTCTATATTATTTCATGAACGATAAGTAAAACGTCAAAAAAAAAAAAAGAATAAAATAAAATAAAAAATAAAGCAATAATTAATGCTGCAGATCTCTTATATAATTACAAAATTAACACACCTCTCTTTTGTAACACGAGGGATGTTATTGCAGAAAAGAGACATGAAAAGATATATTACTTACTCTAATGCACTGCTAGGAGTTAGCAGGTAAGCAAAAGACTCCGCCTAAGATAAAAAAAATGTATTCGTTAATAAAAACTCAAATTCAATCGGCGTATTTTTGGAGCGTCCCACGACGCACCTCATTCATATGAAATTGGCACACATAAATCTGGAACAATCGGTGGTAATCCAAAAATACATCAATAAGCTATACTCTTGTCTATACCTTTGGTCGTTTAGTGGTCTCCACATCTGCATTTGGTTTACTAATTTTATAATTTACAAATAAAAATTTAGATTATCAGATTATTTAACATAATTTCTTGCTTATTAATGATAGATATTTTTTACGCACGAATTGTCATGCAAATTTTTTTGCTTTAATTTCTTATCATTATATCCCAGCATCGCAAAAATACCTAACGGCGCCTTGATTTAAGAATTATAAAGTTAATATTTAGTTATTAAATATTGCAAAAAAACAATAAATAAATAAAATAAAATAAAAATTAGAACTTACTGAAGGAGCTGTAAATAAACTGTTAGATTGCTTACGGTTGATGCCAACGGTTATATGATTATTTGGCTTTGAAGATGAACGACGACGATAAATTTTACGGCGAGATGAAATTAAGTCACCGGGTGAAGTAGGTGAAGTGTTAGAATTGGCAGAAGATGAGCTCGATTCTGATTTTAATGTGGAAGCTATTCCATGGTTATCAATATTAAATAAAGACAACTCAATTGATCACATAATGCATGTTTTGATATTCAAAAAAAATTTTTTTTTTCTTGTTCACATAAGAGAATCGGTATATTCAACAACTAATATTAAAAAATTGTTCATAGCCCACTCTCTGAATAACAACTACCAACCTGAACTTCTACGTCGTCTTAGATTATAACTATCATGTGGTGAACCATCAAGAATCAAATAGTGATTCTCTTGGTTTTCTAAATTTGTCTCAATAAGAGAGCCATCTTTAGCCTCTAATACTACCTGTTTTTCCTTGATTGGAAGAGTTAAGCTATCACTTGAAGAGTGAGAATGCTTATAGTTGAGGCTTATATTTGTCAAGAAGTTTGTCGCAGTCTCTTCGCGCCGACTGTTACCTCTTCTAGTTTTATTTTGTCGATTTAAATTTTCTATATACTCCACAGTATTTATGGAGGAAGTTTTCTGGTCAAATAAGTCATCATTAGGCGTTTTTGGGCTTGAAGAGAATATATAATGTCCTGCTGCCTTGTGAGGAAGCATATCGAAAGATATTGCAGTTTTAGTATCAATTTGTAAATCTGGTCTGCCATTTCCGTTGATAACCTCATGATCAGTGACAGTCACAAGTGGAGTCTTCTCAAAATTATCAGTGTTTAACAGATGGTCTGATGACTGAAAAGGGCTCGGAACGGAATGGCTCGACGCCTGTACAGTACTAGAGGGGAAAGTTGACTCAGTTCCAAGGCTAATGTTAGAAAGAAATGTAATTGCAGCTTGTCTCGAAGAATCTCGTCTACGGGGGATTCGACGAGGTGAGGTCCTGGTCATTGGTGAATTCAAAATAATAAGCGCTTTCGCTCGGGAAACTCTCAACAGTTTGTGGGATATTTGTGTCTTGTTGTTTACGTAGTACAACCACAAAAATAGTGTTGATGTTGTGTCACGTGGTACACGCGGTCGGCGCAACCCGTTAATTTCACATCACGATTGTTTCAAATGCCAATCCTACCCCCGCATGTCGATATGCGAAGATTTTTGAAGTAAAAATTTCCGTGAATAATTATGTACTACGGAAGTTCACACAGTCAAAATAGATCAAAATAATTAGCTTATAATGGCAATTTTTAAGGAGGGCGGGTCTGTTTTCACGTTATTTTATTTAAACTTTCAATATACCCCGGAAAAACGGAAGTTTTTCAATTGCACCAATTACTGACATTGTTATCAAATGTAAGATTAAAAACAAAATATAACAAAAATCGAACCAAAATATCAATCAATCACTGGACACCTGACACGGTCGATTCGGAGCGAATCTTCGGTTATTTTTACGCTTTTATAGTATAGTCTCAATTAAAAAGAGTTGACTTATATAATCTTTTTTTGTTTAAACCCAAAAAAAAAACTAGTTTTTTAAAGTTTTTGTTTAACTTTAATGAAAATTGGAAATTTATTTTCTCACACCGCCACACTCATGCGACCATGTAATGAATGTAAAATCATGTAAGTACGTACTAGTATGCAGAATATTGTTCCCACGAAATTTACCCTGTAATTTTTCTCTGATTAGATATAATAATACAGGTTACCCCCGTTAATATTAACCCATTTGGATTAGACAATTGAAAACAGCGGGGATAGTTTTTATATAGCTAAGCCTATTTTTTTTTAATAAGAGGTTGATATTAACGGGAGGTTGATATTAATATTAACGGGGTAACCTGTAGTCTATAATCTATAACAATAACGTTTATACAAATTTCAGATGTTCCGTTCGCCTCGCTTCACATGATCCATTAAAATGTCGGGTAGATAATGACGTATTGACGCATAAAAGGTAGCTACCTTTTATGAAATATGTATAAATTTCTTGCGTATTTATACATATATCATTGTTTATAAGCGTGATATTGTATGCTGATGAAATTACACTAGAGTTAGGACTGTTAAAAAGCTTGTTGAACTCAGTTCTTGAGTCGCTCCATTCGAACATTCTTCAAGCCTGTTTCAGACGATGCCCAAATACCATTTTTTCAATTGTGATTTAAGAAATTGGGAAACACATCCTTGTACGTATTATAAGTAAATCGCGCCTTATTAAATTCACAAGCTTAATAACCAAATCCCGAAAAGATAGGACTTTTTAGCAACCCTTACTAGAATATGAAATAATTTTATTATTATTAGTTAAATTGGTATATATTAGATTAATAAAATTAATTTTATTAATATTTTTTGTAAAAACTACAGTATTTGCAAGAACTATTGTTTAAATAATTTTTTTTTTTATATATTACTATACATGGTTATATATTTAGGTTTTATATTTGAAGCTTAAACTATTTTATCTATATCTCAAACCTACCAGAGCTAACATGTTTTACTCTATACACGTCACTCTGGTTATACCGACATCTGGATATAACGACATCATAGTAAAATCTTTCTATATCGACATTTTTTTTCAAAATTTTAATATAAAATGTCAGTATAACTCACTGTATCGACATTTTGAATTTTTTTTACTAATGACTCAAAAATGTCGATATAACCAGAGTGACGTGTATATAACTAGATTTTGCTTCTCAACTAGCTTTATTTGATTACTATATTTCTCATATCTTAGTTTTATTAACAATTTTCAAATTGGTTTTTTTATTTTAGATAATTGTTATTATATTTTTTTTGATGTTAAGGTGACTTCTTGGTCACATTTCTTTTATTTAACTTTACAGTATAGTATAAACCATACTGTATACATATTTAAAAAGTACAACTAGCTGTATATACAACTTTTGGTTGCCTATTTAAGTAGTCTGTGTATAGATAGTATACTATAGATTCTATACTAGATGTCATACTTATAACTTAACTAGGAGATTTTAAACTCTCTGTAATACAAATCTTTGCTTATATTACCAATATATCTTCATTAGATTTGTTAGTTGAAAAGTCTTAGATGTTTTTTTATATTTTTAGAACTAACTTATTCTCAAAGCATTATTGTTAGAGCTTTCTATATCTACAATCTGATTAATCTAAACTTCAATAACTTATACTGAGTCTAAAAATAAGTACTTGTAAGCTAAAGCCACTATTATTATCTACTTCTGCTCTTATAGAGTTTATTCAAATCTCAATATACACTTTACAAACTATTAATTATACTTCTAGCTATCTCAAACTTTCAATTTAAATAAACTAAAAGGGTTGTAATCTACTTTTGATTTTTATAATTGATTTTTTTATCTAATTATTTTTATTAGCAGTCTAATTAATAAAATACTTTAGTTTTGTTTAGTTTTTTAATTTCTTAAGCTTTATATAGTACTGTTAAAGATTTATATTACCTTTTTATTTAGATTTTGCTAAGTATTTTTTAATCTGTTAGTTTATATAGCTGCTTTTCTCAGATTTTATATAATTTATATATTATATTATAGTTTTACAACCTCTTAGTACTAGTTGGTATAATCATATTATAGATGCAGACCCAATTGAATATAGTTTTTCTAATTGATTTTATAAATTCAAATTTCATTAGCAATGAGATTCAAACTCTTGTCTTGTTGCTTAGAAGTGTGACAATATATCAACTATACTAAGTTATCATGCCTTTTAAATTTTAAATATTTGTATACAAAAGTAAATTTAAAAAATCAGCTATATCTCTATAACAAAAAGCTAGAAAATATAAATCTAAATTATTTTAATATAAAATTATATATTAAATAATTTTATTTAAAAATAAAATATATATAAATCATTTTTACTAATAATTATATTAGATTTTATATAATATCATATGATTTATATATAAACATTATATAATTTAACCAATCAGAACTAGCAATTTTTGTGTAATTTTAAAAAAATATATAATGATTTTGAAAACTTTAATTATATACAAAGTTTATTTTTTTAAAGCAATATATATTTCACAACTTCACTATTATAAACAAACTAGTTTAAACTATATATCATATAAATTTAATAAAAATTAACTGAAGTTTAAGCAGAGATATTTTTCATTTACTATATAAAAATTTAATATACCATACAGATTATATAAAAAATAATCTATATACACTCTACTCTTAAATAAACAAAGCTAATTTATTTAATAAATTTTTTTTTTATCTTTATAATATTGTTATAAGTAGACTGTAGCTTTCTTACTATAATACAGCACAAGTAACAAAGCATATAATTACATAGATCTATTGCAATAATGTAGCAGTGTAGAAGTAGAATATAACTCCACTAAGGGCAGTTCAGAAAAATATGTAGTTAAAGAAAAATATATTTTATTTACTGTTTATAAAACTTTAATTACAAGAAGAGATTCTATAACTAAAGAGATATCTGTGTCTAATTCAAACTTATTTAGCAAAAAGGAGAAAAGCCAGAGTTTATGTATTTTTTAGAAATAATAAGAAACAGTAAAAAAGGTAGAAAAGGTAAAAATAGTAGAAATGATAGAAAAGATAGAAAAGGTAGAAATAGTAAAAATAGTAAAAATAGTAGAAATAATAGAAATAATAGAAAAGGTAGAAAAGGTAGAAAAGATAGAAAAGGTAGAAAAGATAGAAAAGGTAGAAAATGTAGAAAAGGTAGAAAAGATAACTGTTTTTTTGCTAATCTTAGTAATCATACAAATTTGCTAATTTGTTAAATAATTTAACTAATTTGTTAATCTGTTAATTAATTTGTTAATCTTTTCCTACTTAATATAGTAATATAAAATAATCAACTCTTTCCGCTGATCATCAAAACACAAATTTTTCGAAATACAAAAATTAATAAAAACTACGAAAGACACCAAAAGCTATTAAGAAACGAATCTCAGAGCTCTAAGAAAAGA